CTCTTTCTCAAATAAATAAATAAATAAATAAAATCTTAAAAAAATGCTTGAACCTTGAAAATTGTATATAATTTGTTAGTAAAATTGGGCCTTCCCCCCATGGGAAAATATTTTAAAATACTTACTCAGTTTTTATGAAAGACTATAGGACTATTTATAGTCTTTTTTTTTGACTCAGTAGTAGAAATTTACATTTTCTAGGAGTTTTCTATTTTAGTTTTCAAGACTATTGGCATAAATTTGTTCCTAATACTTTAAATTGCCAATCTTTGCTGCCTCCTTCCTAATATTATTTGTATGTGTCTTTTTTTTCTATTCTAATCAGTTTTGCCTGAGTTTTGTGAATTTTACGTTGTTTTTGTTTTTTAAAGAACCAACATTTGGCTTTGATGATCTTGTTATTAACTCTTGTTTTCTCTTTCATTAATTTTGTGCTTTGTTATTTTCTTTGGTCTGCTTTGAAGGCAAGTTATTCAGTTGTTTACCTCAAATTAAGTCTGTACCCTTTCTTGATTTCTAATACACACTTAAGCCATTTATAACTTTTCAGTGCTTTAACTGCATCCCGCCATGATTGGCTTTAGGCTAGAAAAAAAGTTTAGATGTGTAGGACCCTCGGTGAATACTTATTGAATGAGTACAAACATTTGGTGGTGAGGGGATTAATTTTAAACAGGGAAGTTCTTATTCCCGATTTCTAATTGCCTGTTGGGGCTGGTGATGCCTCTTCATTCCATTGCTTCTTCCGTAGCTTTATGGGCCTTTACATTTTTCTTTTGCAAATCTGCTCTGAACTTAACTTTTCCTCCCAAGTATTGTCCTTGTGAACTTCCTGGAAGATGGCAGCATGTCTGTGACTGGAATTATGGGCCATGCTGTGCAGACCGTTGAAACTGTGAACGAAGGGGACCATGGAGTGAGAGAGAAACTGATGAATTTGTTCATGTCTGGAGACTGCAAGGCCTACAACCCTGAGGATCTGGAGAAGAGAAAGAACAGCCTAAAGAAATGGCTCGAGAAGAACCACATCCCCATCACAGAACAGGGAGATTCACGAAGGACTCTGTGTGTGGCTGGGGTTCTGACTATAGACCCACCGTATGGTCCAGAAAATTGCAGCAGTTCTAATGAGATTATTCTCTCCCGTGTTCAGGATCTTATTCAAGGACATCTTGCAGCTTGCCAATGAGAGGCCAAGAACTATGGATGCATCAATTGAAATAACATTTCATTTTTTTTTTTCTTCATAAAATGTTTTGAATGTTAAATCCATCATATTACAAGACTTCAAAGGCACACAGTTGTGTGTGTGTGTTTGAGTTTTAATTCTATGTTGTTTTGGTAAAATCAAAGATCTGGATTATAAGTGCTAATAAATAAACTATGGCAAAGCTAGCATCACATGCAACAAAATAGCACAAGGACATTAGAATTGTAAGAGTCTTTTGTTGGTGGGAGTACACCTCCATTTTTGTTAGGCAAGAAACACATGTTAGATTCAATATAAAATGTCTTGTTAAGCCCCTTGTATGTGTCTGTTTTAAAATATTGTGTAAGGATGAAATCGCTTTTGAATCAGAATCTATTGGAATATATGCTTTTTTGGTTGAAACTTGAAAAGTTTTAACTACTTGTAAAATCTTACCACATAAGCTGTTTAACTTTCAAAGCCTTTACAGTGAGCCCTGGCTGATATCTCTGACGAAAAAGGTAAATGTGACAAGTATTCTGCTCCTGCACTGAACCCAGTTCCCGTGCCTGGTGGATTCAGCCAAGGCCTTCAGCCCATGCTGCTTTCTGCCTGTAGCCCCCATTCCTGGGTCAGGCTTCACTGAGGGGGGAGAACGCAGGAAGCATGCCTCACTAAACCTGGCCCTACCCCTTGGAAGCCAGGCAGGGGCCAGGACTCGATATGGAGGTTTCTGGCCTAGAAACCGAGGGAGGTACCTCAGATTGTCAGTTGGGTGTCTTCTCGGGGGCAGGTCAGATTAGAACCCCAGGCCTCTGACTCCTAGGACAAGGGTCAGCAAACTTTGAGCCCTTGGGACAAATGCAGCCTGCTGCCTCCATTTGATAAAACTTTTCCTGGAACACAGCCGTACCCACTGGTTTACGTATTTTCTGTGGCTGCTTTTGAGCCATAGTGGCAGATTTGAATATTGTAACAAACTATATGGCTTATATTTACAGAAAAATACAGCCCTGCCCTAGGCGTGTGGGGTGGGTGTCTTTATGATAATCACCTGTGACCTACAAAGAATAACCAGACCCTAAAAGGGAAGTAAGCCATTGAAGGAGTTATCAGTAAAGATGTTAAAAGGATTTAAGTTCCCTGGTCAGCATTCTATAAAAGACCAACCCTGGGGTCCCTGGGTGGCTCGGTCCTTAAGTGTCTGCCTTCAGCTCAGGTCATGATCCCGGGGTCCTGGGATCGAGCCCCGCGTTGGGCTCCCTGCTCAGGCGGGAAGCCTGCTTCTCCCTCTGCCTGCTACTCCCCCTGCTTGTGTTCCCTCTCTGCTGTCCTTCTCTGTCAAATAAAATAAATGAAATCTTAAGAAAAAAAAAGACCAACTATCTCTGTCACTATCTCTGTCTCTCAAATAAAGTCCATATATATATATATATATATATACAGAAAGTTTGCTCTAGGAAATCCTTGAAGCAGCCTGGTGTGCCAGGGCTTGGGGCAGACTTCCAAAGGCAGTTTTGAACTAGATAGGCCACGTGGGCTGCTATAGGGCTAAACTCAGAACTCTAACTTCTTCCTAGTCTGTCCGCAGGGATTCAGCTGTGCAAACAGCCCTTTCAGTTCTCACGTATGTCCCTTATTCATACAAAAAGAGAAGCGGTACCTTTTGCAAGAAATAGTTTTAAAAAGTCAGCTTTTAGGGGGTCTTTGAATGCAGCCCGATCAGCGCAATTTCCTGCATAGTTGTCCAATGACAGGATGTAGCCTCACACTCCTCACACTTCAGCAAGCGTCAGAATCAGTCCGAGAGCTGTTAGAACAGATTGCAGGACCCTACCCCCAGTGGATTCTGTCTCAGGAGGTCCAGGTTGGGACCCAGGCATTGGCATTTCTAACAAACTCCCAGATAATGGTGATGCTACCTGTCTCAGGCCACACTTGAAAAAGCAGTTCAGAAACCTTGGGGAAACAGTCCATCCCTCACAACTTTATAAGGTTCCCATGATCCTAAAAAGATTTAGTGCATAGCCTTGCTCCTTGTGACTAAGACCCTCCCATTCAAATCCTGGAATGTCTTTGGGAAGGAAATAAGGGAAGAGGAGTAAGAACAAATTAAATTCAGTGTGGAAATGATTTTTGCAAAATACGGGGAGGCCTTGAGATGAGAGAAGCCATGTAGGAAATTGCCCAAAACATCAGTTGGACTTGAGCCCTATTCCAGGGACAGGTGCACTGGTGTTGGTAGATTTGTTTGCTGTCAGACTAATGAGCTGGGGAGAGAGACTGTTTCTTGGCAACTGAGTCCTCTGTTTAAACAATGTGCCTGCAAACAAAAGCTGAGTGCCGAAGAGGGTAAATGATCTGGCTCTGCCACGGAAACCTTATATTCTTATCACTTTGTCAAATCTATTTCTTTGTGTTTCTAATATTTACTCAAATGGAAATATATTCTAATTATGTACTTAGAGCATACATGCACCGCTTTTAACTTATTTTAACGTAATTTCAGATTTATAGGAAATTTGCAAGAACAGGACAAAGAATTCCCATATATCTTTCTCTCAGCAAATGTCAACATTTGACCACATTTGTATTTTCCGTCTATGTGTGTGTGTGTTCATTTTCTCCCCCTGAACTGTTTGAGAGTAAATCATGGACACGATGGAAAAATGAGGACATTCTCTTAAATAACCACAGTACAGTCATCAAAATCAGGATAGTAACATTGATATAGTACTGTGATTTAATACACACCTTATCCAGATCGTCTCAATGTCCTGTACTGGAAAAACAAAACACAAAATGATTTTTTTTTTTTTTAAAGATTTCATTTGACAGAGATAGACAGCGAGAGAGGGAACACAAGCAGGGGGAGTGGGAGAGGGAGAAGCAGGCCTCCTGCTGAGCAGGGACCCTGGGATCGTGACCTGAGCTGAAGGCAGACGCTTAACGACTGAGCCACCCAGGTGCCCCCAAAATGATTTTTAAAATTTGGACCATGCATCATGTTCAGTCATGTCCCTTCCTTTAATTGGAAAGAGTTCCTCAGTCTTTCTTTGATTTTTAGGACATTGACATTTATTTTGTGGAATAATCCTCAATTTGAGTTTGATGTTTCATTTTGTTTCAATTTGATAGGATTCTTTTGGGTAGGAATACCCTGGAAATGATAGTGTGTTCTCAATACATCATATCAGGAGGTACATAATATTGATTTGTCCCATTTCTGGTGATGTTAACTGTGATCACTAGGTGAAGGTAGTTTTTCACTTTTCTCCACTGTAAAGTGACTATTTTTTTTGTTTATTTATTTTTTTAGTCATTGCTACACCCAGGGTGGGGCTTGAATTCATGACCTCAAGATCAAGAGTCACATGCTCTTCTGACTGAGCCAGCCAGGTGCCCCACTATTTTTTTGTTTTTTTTTTTAGTTAAAGGAATCTTACAACAAATTTTTATTTATTTATTTTTAAAGATTTTAAGTAATCTCTATACCCAACATGGGTCTCCGACTCAACAACCCTGAGATCAAGAGTCATATGCTCTACTGACTGAGACAGCCAGGTGCCCAGTGTATTTTTTTTTTTAAGAAAGAGCGCATGTGCGCCAGCTGCGGGGGGGCAGTTAGGGTGAGGGGAGAGAATCTTTTTTTTTTTAAGTATGCACGTCTTTTTTTTTTTTTTTAAGATTTTATTTATTTATTTGTCAGAGAGAGCGAGCACAAGCGGGAGAGCGTCAGGCAGAGGGAGAAGCAGGGAGCCAGGATGCCCTGGGATCCTGACATGAACCAAAGGCAGACGTTTAACCGACTGAGCCACCCAGGCGCCCCAGGCATCCAACATATTTTTTAAAAAGAACTTTAGGGGCACCTGGGTAGCTCAGATGGTTAAGCGTCTGCCTTTGGCTCAGGGTCCTGGGATCGAGTCCCGCCTCAGGCTCCTTGCTTGGCCAGGAGTCTGCTTCTCCCTCTCCCTCTCCCCCTGCTCATGCTCTCTCTCTCTTTCTCAAATGAATAAATAAAATCTTTTTTTAAAGAACTTTATTGAGGTATTATTAACGTATCATAAAATTCATCTACCTGAAGCATATAATTCAGTGATCTTTAGTAAATTTACAGAGTTGTGCAGCCATCACCATAATCCTTTATTTTTTTAAACATTTTCATCCCCACAAGATTCTGTATCTCATTTGCAGTGAATTCCCATTCCCACCCTCAGTCCCAGGCAACCACTAATCTTTTTGTATCTATTGGCTTGACATTTCTGTATATTTCATATAAATGGAATCATACCATATGTGGTCTCTGTGTCTGGCTTCTTTCACTTAGCATTATGTTTCTGAAGTTCATCCATGTTGTAGCATGTATCACAGGCTCCTTTTTCTTAATAATATTCCATTGTGAATATACTCCTTTTTGTTTATTCATTTACCATGGATATTTGGATTATTCCCAGTTTGGAACTATTATGAAAAATGCTGCTGTGAACATTTGTGAGAAGTCTCTGTATGGACATATATTTTCATTTCTCTTATGTGAAATACCTATGAATGGAGTTACTGGATTACATGATAAATTATGTCTAACTTTTTAAGAAATCAAGCTATTTTCTAATATGGCCATACCATTTTACATTCCATCAGCAATGTATGAGGGTTCTAATTTCTCTGCACCCTTATGAATATGTGGTACTGTATGTGATTCTAGAGGTTATGAAGTAGTATCTCATTGTGGTTTTCATTTGCATTTCTCTGATGACTAATGATGTTGAGCATCTTTTCATTTGCTTCTTAAGCCATTTGTATATCCTTGGTGAAATGTTTACTCAAGTATTTTGCCTGTTCTTTAAAACTGAGTTGTCTACTTGAGTTCTAAGAAGTCTTAATATATCCTAGATACAAGTGCTTTGTCGAAATATAATTTGCAAATATTTCCTCCCAGTCTGTGGCTTGTCTTGTATTTTCTTAACGATGTTTTTAAGCTGCAAAAGTTTAAGAAATTGACTAAGTATGATTTACCAATTTTTTTTTTTTCTGTTATGGATCATGCTTTTGGTGTTTGTAGCTAAGAACTCTGCCTAACTTAAGGTCACATAGATTTTCTGGGTTTTTTTTTTCTCTTTTTTTAATTTTTAAAGTTTATTTATTTTAGAGAGTGTGTGCGATTGGGGGGAGGGGCAGAGGGAGAGAGTCTCAAACAGACTCCCCCACCCCCACCCCAAGCGCAGAGCCTGAGATGGGGCTCCATCCGACAACCCACAACCTGAGCCGAAACCAAGAGTCGGACACTTAACCAACTGAGCCACCCAGGCGCCCTCCAAATACATTTTCAAGAGAGAGTAGACCATAAATTTATTCCCTACAGCTTCTTTTTTGGTGATATGCAGACGTTTGCTCACAATGTTTATTTTTTTTCTCCCCTTTCTTCC